TGAGACTCACACTAGCACCCAAATCAATTAAGACCTTCTTGAAATTTCTGTTCTTTATAGTGCACGGGATGGCTATAGATCTAGGATCTTTCTGCTTGATGGGGATTCTCCTACCTTGTGATATTTCACTAAACTTCTCAGTTAAAATTTTCTGCTCCTCTCCCATTGATCTTTTTTTAACTATTTCTTCTTTCATAATTTTTTTGTACAATGACATTTGCTCGAGTGCTTCAAAGAAAGGCATATTGATCTCTAACTTTTTGAACATTGTGATAAATTTCTCAAAGTCTTTCTCCTTTGGATCCTTCTTCATCACTCTCGAAGGATAAGGTAGTTTGATCTTGGGTTTAGCCTCCTCTTTCTTTTTCTCTTCAGTTGGCTTTACGAGTGGTATAACCTCTTATGGATCTTTCTTATTTTCTCTTACTTCCAAATCCACCTCTATACAATGATAATCATTTTGCCATTTCTTCCTCTTTTTCAACCACTTTCTGACTTCTTGTTGTGACAGCATTAACCTTCTCATGATATTTTGGATTTGGTACTGTCGCGCTCGGAAAGGTTCCTTGAGTTTGCATGGAGAGTTGTTGTGCTATTTGTCCTATATGAACCTCAAGATTTTTGATAGAAGTTGTGATGTTCCTTTGATTATTTCGGGTCTCTTCTTGGAATGGAATGTTGCGAGCTGCCATTTTTTCAATCGATATCTCCCACTCTGCTTTCTGAGGAGCCTGTTGCTGCTGTTGGTATTGAGGTTGATTCTAATGTTTCTAGGAGAAGTTAGGATGGTTCTTCCACCCTAGATTATAAGTATGAGAATAGAGACTATTCTTCTTCAGAAGCTTTATCTCTTTGATTTGTTACGCAGTCGCAATGCAATGTGCAGTAAAACGGGGTCCACTATAAATCTCACAACTCACAGCTTGACCGGTTTGAACTTGAGCTACTTGTTGAGTACCTAAGTCCATGCCCTTGAGTCTTCTCTCTACTTCAGCAGCTACTTGGTCTTCTATGTTCACAACCTGATTTGCAAGTTTTAAGTCAATCACACCTTCAAATTTACTCACCCTTCGGTAATATAATTCCAGATGTTCATTTGCAACAATGACTTCTATGATCTTCTTAATACTAGTGGCTATTGTAAAGTTGGATGAGCCACCATTAGTTGTATTAATAAGTTTCTTTGTCTTTATTCTGAGTCCATTCACAAATATTTGCATCTGTTCAGTTTGATCCATATTGTGAGTGGGACAAGCAACCAATAACCTCTTAAACCTCTTGTAAGCATCACCAAGTGACTCTCCTTCTTTTTTCTTAAAATTCACAATATCATACATTTTTCGAATATAAACAGAAGCAGGAAAGTATTCATTAAGAAAAGTATTCTCCATCTCTTCCTAAGTAGTAATACTCTCCGCAGGTAATGAGTAAAATCACTCTTCAACATCTTTAGAAAGAGTGAACATAAACATTCTTAATTTTTTTGCTTCTTCAGAATGCCCCACAATCTTCAAAGTAGTGCTCATAGTAAGAAACCTTTGTAAGTGCTTATTTGCATCTTCATTAATCTTCCCTGCAAAAGGTTTCTTCTCAAGCTGTCAGATTATTGTAGGGTGCAACTGAAAGTTAGCAACATTGACCGGTTGATTCATAATAGCCAACCGACTTGCTAGAGCATTTGCTCCTCCATAGTCCCTAAGAAGCCTTTCTTGAGGTTCACCCATTATTGTTTTTGTCTCTAACTCTGTATCTGTCTTTGAACCTGTATCTGAATGATTTAAATGAACATAAACGTCTTCTTATTTTTCTTTTTCTGGGATTGGAATCTCCTCTTTTGAGGCTTCCAAGCTTGCTTGTTTAGCTTGTCTAAGCAAAGCGTGCAAAGATCTTTCAGGTTCTGCGTCAAAAGAAAAATCAGCTGAGGGTTTTCCTTGCATACAAAGATTAGATAAAGATCAGTAATAATAATAATAAACAAAATTAATATAAGAAGAAAATAAAATTTTAGTCGCAGAGCAACAAAATTCTAATTGAAATAAATTTGTTAACTTTATTATCTTTGGCAGTCCCCGACAACAACGCCAAAAACTTGATCGGAAAAATAACAAGTGTATTATTTTCCCTATGTAGTAATAAAGGATGAAGTCCCGAATGTCGATCTCAAGGACTCCTTGAAGATATAGAGTTTTGAGTCCAATTCAACTTAACAAAAGCTTGGGGGTTTTAGATTGTTTGGTGAAGTTATAAAACAATTGCACAAAAATAAAGAAAGTAATTAAGTGGTATAGAAAATATATGAGTAAACTATGCTAGAGATGGTATATGATTCGACTCAGTAACAACTTTGAATTAACACTGCAATAACTTATTGTAAGTAATTAATTACCGATTGTTTAAAATGTTTACTCCTAAGTCCTTAGTGAGAAAACCTTTAATCATCCACCCTAAATCCTATGTCCATAGTGAATTACAGATGAAATTAAGCAATCAATTATCAAGAATATTCTAGTTTCTATATGGTATTCCTAGTCCTAGGTAATATCTACTATAGAATAATCCAAAGCAAATCATTAGTAACGGCGGTCCAGCCTAATCATTAATCGAAAATCAAACCTTGTTTGTCCGATAGGGCAAACATTAATAATAGCTAGAGATAAAATCAATTATGAAAAACAAAGAGATTGTTATTGCAATACTAATATCAGAGTCATTACATATCCAAATCAGGGACACCCCCTAGCATTGGGGGGGAGGGGGTTTAGCTACTCATATTGTTCAAAGAAAATACAATGTAAAAAGTAGACATTACAAGAATTTGGATAAACTCGGACCGTCAATTGCTTCCGCTCATGAAAATCCTTCGCCCTCCGAAAAATTTGTGCTCTCCAATCTTTGATCGTAAAATCCTTCTTCAGTCAAAAGTCCCTTCTTTCATCATCCAAACTCATCTAAATAGCTAAAAGTCAAATAACAGTAGGTGGAAATGCCAAATATATCCTCCAAGTCAGTAAAAAGTTAAAATAAGCAAAAACGGGAAAAATCAGCGTCAAGGCTAACACGACCCATGTAGCTGACACGGGTGGCCATGTTGGCTCCCTGTGTCCCTTCACACAAATTTCTCTGTCCCAAGCCTGCTGACACGGCCCGTATCAGGTGACACGGGTGCCTGTGTCAGTCCACTATTACTCTTTCTCATGGTCGTGTTCTTGTTCTCCTCCTGACACGACCTGTGTTGCCCTGCTGTAGGATGGACAAATTTCCACCGACACTATGTATCTTTCCTCTTTCTTGCACTGAGTTCTTCCTGAATGCTTATCTGAACCTAAAAACATTTAAGAGACACAACCAAAGCATAAAATGTGGAAAAAGAGAAATAAAACGACTAAACATATTACAAGATTAACTAAAATTAACGGTAAAAGAAAGCATAAAAATCACTGATCACCTTGCTCCCATGTCACAATGACATGTTCAAAGGCTCGATATGAACTTTCCAACTTACTATCCGTCGTTTACAAAGTCATAAACTTATGCAATGTGTACAACAATAACTTTGTGGTGGTAACAAAGAAGGATTATTGACCTGCATATCAATGAGAGATAGTTTGGCACTATGAAAATATGCGAAGAAAGAAAAAAGTCGCCTTAACAACATGCATATTCGAAACGAAATGGATACGACGAACAAATTGGTGAGATTGTGTAGTTCATGCCGTCATTCTAGACACGATGGTACAAACTGTCTCAATGTTGAAGCAAGTTCCACAACATAATTCAATAATCCACTTTTAGTCCTGCATTTTTTATGTTATTCTTTTTATGTAACCATTTGATTTGATTTTGAAAACAAAGTTCATTTTATAAAGATCACACCATTTGGTTACAACAATTTAAACAACAACTAAACAACAAGAAAACAAATACAATAACTAAACAACATATCTATGCAATTACAACCATTAAGACAATTTCCTCGCAACTATGCATCAAAATACGACAATCATTGTCAATTTTAACTGAAACTCATAAACGACTATCTCCATTGTCGTTGTACACTGTAACAAGCCTTTGAATTCTTCTGATCTTTTCACCGTTTACAATGTCTCCATCTAACCAGTGAATCAAGCTTCTCTAAAGATACTCGAAAGTCTCCGTGTTCTAGAGTCGTATCTTCATCAGAGGCTTCATTGCTAAATAAATTATTTTGTCATTTCTCTTGATAATACAACACGAAATTTTGAAGAAAAATTGAAGGAGAGAATTATAAGATGGGTGAAAATTGATGGGGGAGGGGATGCACTATATATAAAAAAAACCCTAAACAACACAGTAGCCTCTGACCATGACGCATGCTCCTAAAGGATGTATACACGCCCCATAGACAGTGACATGACATGCATGCACCCACCATGCCCTATGGCACATATGTTCAAATAATGAATGCATACGCCATATCCTCTAGCTACTCCTCTTGCGGACGAATTTTTTTGTTTGAAACATGCTTAATTTGATATTTAATATGAAAATATGATTTTTTTTGAAAACATAGTTATTTTAAAATAAATTTATTTTACTAAATATAGCAATAAAGTTTACTTAAAAATAATTTAAACCATTTTTATTGAAATTTGTAAGGACAAAATGAATCCTTCACCTTAAATTTTAACATAATAAATTTCTTAACATATTTATTAATAAATAATCAATTATTTTAAAACCCATAAATTAAGAGGTGAAATTTCAAATAGGTTACTAGGAAAAAGAAAAAAAAAACCTATTGTAAAAAGAAAAACAAAAAGCAGAGGATGAGAGATCGGAATGGGCCAGTGAGTGAAGTTTAGGGCACTTCTTCTTCTTCACAGCAAGCTCCATCCGTCGCCGCCGCCGCTATCAACTTTCTCTCCGGCGACACTCATTTTCACAATCTCAACGGTAAGAGTCCATGAATGAATAAACTATAGCTTATTGCTTCAATCGAATCAAAAATCGATTATTTCACCATGCTTTCTCGTTTAATCCCCAAAACCCCCTCTCATTTCCGTCGCTTTTTCTCTCTCCCTTCCAAACAACCCTATTTCCCCAATTCACCATTCAATCCTCATTTCACCGCTCCTCAAAAACCCTATTCCAACAACAGCAACAACAACAACAACACCAAGGACCCGTTTTCGAATGTATGGAAGAATTTCGGAGAATCCGAGGAGAAGGTCGACAATTTGTTTACGGAAGAAAGTGAAAGCCTCGATGGGATGAACGAGGTGGAAGGGGAGAGAGTAAGGAAGGATGCTGATGAGGAAAAGTGGTATTTGGAAGAGAAGGGTATTGATAATGAGGATGAGAATACTTTGTTTAAAGGAATTGATAACGAAGCCGAGGGTAAGAGTAGTGGAAGTGGTGAGTTTGGTAGCCACATTGATCAAGCTTGGAACTTGAAAGAGGATACAGGTGATGTTTTTGATTTCAAAGAGGATGATGTGGGTAAGGAGGAAGTTGGGGAACTCGGTGTTGTGGATGGTGAGACGAAAGAGGATGTGGAGAAGCTTGAGAAGGAAGAGAAAGAACTCACTGTCATTCTTGAAGGTTTGGCTTAAACAACCCCTTTTGCTGTTGTTAATTTGTTATTTGGTAGTTTCGAAACATTGTTCAAGTTGATATTCTACCATTGATTCACATATAGAATAGTTTTTGCAAAATAGGTTGTTATATTGTTGTAGTTATATAATTTAGTACTGTTATGCCAATTATTGCAATAGAAAAACCAACTTTAAGGCTATGTTTGGGCATATAAAATGAACAGAGTGGAATGAAGCGGAGTGGATTGGAATGGAGCGGAATGAAGATTTCATTCCATTGTTTCAAAATTTTAGTATGGAACAAGACAAGTTTTTCATTCCGCCCAAATCGGATGCAATGAAATATGGTGGTAACCAATGGAATGGGATGGAATCCATACCACTCCATTTTGCTCTGCTCCATCCGATTTCAAATGTCCAAACAATAGAATACGATTTCATCCTATGCCGCTCTGCTCCATCCGATTCCATCAATCCAAACAAAGCCTAGATGATATGAAGGTCAGTGTTGTCAATTATGGATCCTGGAATATACAGTACAGAGCTATAGCAGCACTATTTGACAATATTTTGTACTTCGTAACGTATCGCGCAATAATAGGGTTTTGTTCAAATTCTACTATGTTGTTGCTCTATAGTTCTGCTATAGCCATTATTTGACATTATTGGAGGTAAATTGCTGGGAATACATGGGTAGGTGTAATTGTAACATATGGTTTTGTATTGTACCTTTTGAATGTAAAAGTTGAATGAAATTGAAAAGTGTTGTGGTTTTATTGCATGAAACTGAAATATTATCAAACTGAGTGATGTCATTTTGTTGCTATTGTGAATGTAGGACCAAAACGTGCTTTTGGTGATTTGATTGCTGCTTCAGGAATCACAGATGAAATGCTTGACAGTTTGATTGCGTTGAAAGATTTTGAAGGGATTGATGGGTTGCCTCCTCTTAGGGTAATAGAAGATATTCGCTATGAGAAGAATACTAGAAAATCCACCAGAGCTGAATTGGAGCGTCTAAAGCAAGAGGAAGCAGCAAAAGCAAGAGTGAGACAAGTAGATGATAAAGGACGTGCTTATGGAACAGGAAGGAGAAAATGCAGTATAGCACGTGTCTGGGTTCAGCCCGGTAACGGTAAATTTATGGTTAACGATAAAGAGTTTGATGTCTATTTCCCTATGATCGATCACCGTGCTACTCTCCTTCGACCGTTCTCTGAGACAAAGACATTGGGGCTCTGGGATGTTAATTGTACTGTGAAAGGTGGTGGTGTTTCAGGTAAGGTTATTGACTTTTAAGTTTTATTTACTTTTGTTTATTTATGTTGCCTGATTCCTATGGTTAGTATCAAATTCTTTCATATTGATTTTTTTTTTCTTTTCCTTTTACCGATGAATGCCTACTATGCTAATTAGGGTTTGGGGATATAGCGACTGTAAATAGAGTATCTGGTCTGTGACATAGTGCATACCACTTGATACAATACAATATTGCATGCATTTTTGACACTTAAAAGTAATGTTTAAAGATTATTGAGAATATATTTCCAAGTCAACTCGTGTATGATGTATTCGCTTGCTTGGAATTGTGATGTTTGTAATAGGGAGACTGAGAAGTATCTATGTATGATGCCTTTTGTTCCAATGAATATAAGAAAGAACAGAGAAGAGATATATAGAGAGAGAGTTCGGCTAGAGTTAGAGTTAGAAACTAACAGGCAGGATAGGGGGGGCAGAGATGAGCTATAGGTTATTACACATCTAGATGGTTCAAACAAAGAAAACATGTTGTGTGTTTCGCCTCTTTTAAAACTAATTTTGATGTAACCAAAAAAACTAGTCAATCCCACTTAGTGGCGTGGAGTGGCCGACCCTAAAAATGGGATAGTGTATAACGGGATGGCCGATATTTAATCATTTTTTTAGAAAAATTACATGCGTAATAATTATGAACATATGGAGTGAGAGAGGCGAGGGAGAAACTTGTAATTTTTCTTTGGAACGGTTGAAGTGCAGAAACATCGGTGAAGGAAGGTTAGGGTTGAGTCTCGGCTCATATTTGATTTAAAAACTCAAAGCTACCCTTAAAACGTTCTAAATTTAAGGGTAATTTCGGTTTTTCAGAGGGGAAAAGAATAGTGGGACAAAAATTAGTCTGGGCTGGGAAATGCTCTGCCCCTGCTACCGGCCATTTACCTTATAGCGGCCGCTATAGTGTTCGGCACCACGAAGGCTCTTTCCTTAGCGGCCGGCCTCCACTCTGCTATAGTGGGATAGCACCGCTATTGGCCGTTATTGACTACTCTGGATAAATTATCCAAACACATCCCTAGGTCTCGTTTGATTGTAGTTTGGTTTCAGTTTTTCTGAACAGGTATTATCTGTTCTGATTTTAGAGTCTAAAAATAAGAAATAGTTTTGTAAAATAAATACAAAAAAAGTTTTTCAGTTTTAAAATTGTCTTAGTGTTCACAAATAGTTTTGAAGAACTAATGAAGCCTGGAATTGGCCTTTGCAATTTCATTCATGAATGCAATATGTAAGGGAGAAAATATTTTTGAACTGAATTTTTCTCTTTTGTATTTTCATATCCTTGTCTTATATTTTTCTCGGTATCATTAAGTCCAAAGTGTTCAGCCTCTTTAATCTTGGCCTTTTAGTAAATCACGGTTTGAACTTTCAATTTTGACATTTATATGTTTGAACTTTCATAACTCAATTCAACTTCCACCTACAATCAAACACTAAGGAAAGCACGCATAACAGAAATTGGAGAGAAGTGCCAATTGTATAACTAGTCATAGTTCAATAGTTTAATTGCAATTCATTTTTCCCTTCATATCATCTGAATCAATAAAACTTGTTTCTTGTCAATAGGGCAAGTTGGAGCTATACGATTGGGTGTTAGCAAGGCTTTGCAAAACTGGGAACCAGAATTGCGACCTGCACTTAGAAGTGGTATATACTTTCTGTCTTTATATGTTGATTCCTTTTACAATATCTCTCCCCAAATTTGTCTTGTGGCCGAGTTATATATACGATGAATCACTAAACTAAACTATTTTTTTCTCGATTTTGATCAGTCGGCTTCTTGACAAGAGATTCAAGAGTGGTAGAAAGGAAAAAGCCGGGAAAAGCAAAAGCAAGAAAAAGTTACCAATGGGTCAAGCGTTAATCAAGTATATCATTCTGTGGGTGGCAATTTTTGTATTTCATTGATCCTGTACTGCGGATTTCAACGATGATAGAAGAAAATCTGTGTTATGAGTCGTTCACCCTTTCTAGAGAGCTACTAGTTGCTGTTTTTTTTCTTCATAGTAGTCCTAACTTCAGATGAATGTTGTATTAGGGATATGTTATATCCGTTATGGTTATTTTTGTGTAGTCATGTTTTTGATATACTTGTATTTCTGATAAAAAGTGAAACATTTCATGTTTAATCTTTTTCGCAAAATAAAGGGAACCAACATCATTCTTAAAGGATTGAAACATTTCATGTTTTATCTTTTTCTAAATTTTAAAATGTCAAATTATTGTGTTATCTGGTTCTGAAAATTCATTCTTCCAAGCTTGTTTTTGTATCTGACTATCACAATTGTTTATGGGATGATAATGAATAGGATTTGGGATCATACACATATCTGTTTGAAAAAATTTCAGTACTCAAGTCCATATTTACGTGACATTAATATTTGTACTCTTGATATTTATTTAAATTTTCATACTCGTAACCCATATTTTTATTGAAAATAAATCGATCAATAACATAATATCATATTAAATTAAATTTTTAACATTAAAAATATTTTAAAAGATTTCATTATTGACTATGAAATAAGCCAACAATTATATTAAAATATGTAATGGTCTAATAGATTCGAGTATGAGCCAAAGTTTTCTTGAGCTATCCTGGCTCCTCTTCACCATTCTCGGACTTTTTACCTTTGCCTAGCCAACTTCATCACTATAGTGTCCCAGCTTCTCACAACTGTGACATTACGCCTTTCTTTTATCAAAGTTCTTTTTCATGCTTTGTTTTTTTTATTTTTTAAATCTTCTCCTTTCTTGCTTGATGATTCAGGCTTGTCTTCAACATTTTTTCTTTATATTTATTTTTGCCTTTTCTCTTCCATTTTCGCCACTTGCTTCATATTTCTTGAATTTTTTCAAGAGTGCTTGTTCATCTTGGTTCTTAGTTTTCATTTCAGCTACCTTCATTTCATGAACTTCAATGGTACTATGCAAGTCCTCAATCTTCATGCTATCCAAATCCTTTGTCTCTTCTAAGGATCA